AAAATAAAAACCAGACCATTGGCCCAGATGACGGTGCTGCTCTTCCTATTTGCCACGACAGGAAGACGCGGACCAACCAGCCGGTAGCAGCACAGGCTGCTTCAGCCAAGGTCACGGGCTTCCTTCACACAGTGGAAATCAGAATAGGCAGGAGGCAACCATGGTACCTACTCTAGATTCTAAACAGCACGATACCCACACTCCAGGCTCTGAAGGAAAGACAGCTGGGAATGTCAGCCAGCTTCAGGAGAGCCAGAGGCTAATAGGGGTGACCGACGTTTTCTGTCCCCTTCTGAGTGAAATAAAGCAGCTGGACACCTACAGAGCCGTCCTGTGTGTGCCAGGCACTCTGCTGGTGTCACAGCACAGAGGACCAACACACGGACCCCGCCTGCCCTGAAGGGGTTCCCAGTCTTGCCAGGAGATGGACACGAGTCAGGAACTATGATGCACGTGCTCGAAGGGAAGCATGTAGACCAGCATGGGAGCCCCAAGGAGGGAGAAACCAGTATGGGAGCCCTGAGGAGGGAGAAGCCAGCATGGGAGCCCTGAGGAGGGAGAAGCCAGCATGGGAGCCCCGAGGAGGGAGAAACCAGCATGGGAGCCCCGAGGAGGGAAAATTTCTGCCTGGGTGTAAAGGGACTTGCAGAAGTGATATTCGATCTGAGCCACCAAGAAGGAGGAAGAACTTTCCCAGGTAACACCAATATGTGCCGCCAGCGATGCTCCAGCCGCATCTCACTGGCAGCTGTTTCCCACCGAGCCCGGAGGCCTGAGACTGAGGGGACCTTGCTGATGCTGTCCCCTCATCGCCCGTCTGGCCCAGGCCTCATGTCACATCTTCTTTGAAGACTTTCTCCGACTTGCCTTCTATACAGTCACATTACTACGTACGTACCTCGCCAGGAACGTGCGGCGTGGAGGCTGCGTCGGTGCCTCTGGCCGTCTCCTCGCTGTTCGCAGTGGAGACTGATCACGTCAGCTCTGCCCCCGGCACCCAGCACCCAGCACCCAGCAGAGTGCAGAGCAGCTGCCCAGTCTGGATTCACCGCTGTAACGTCTGGGCTCTGCCCCCAGCACCCAGCACCCGGCAGAGTGCAAAGCAGACGCCCAGTCTGGATTCACCACTGTAACGCCTGGCTGGCTGGATAGTTACACATGAAACCTGCTTCTCACTGAGGCAAGGTGACTGGCTGGAGGAGCCAGTCCCGCTATCAGCTGAGAAGAGCGCTGGCCAGGCATCTCAAAGCAAAGCCTTCCTTCATGGAAATGGGGGAAGGTAGAACACCTCTGTTTTGGAAGATGGCCCAGGACTATAATTTTCAGTCCCTCACAAGGGGACTCCCCTGGAGAGATGAATTTCACTTTGTTTGCTGAGTGCCTACTACGTGCAGGGAATGAGAGGCACCAAGACAAAGGAGACACAGTCCTGAAGCCTGACGCGATAGCGCCTGATGGGGGCTGTCCTTAGGGTGGATGCGAACCAGAATTCAGACGACACCAGCTCTGCCCCATCCCGCTCTCTCCACCCAGATCACTGTCAAGTCTTGTTTTACGTACAGGCAGCATGGCCACACCATCCGCGGGAAATTCTTCTGTCCTCTCAGAGGTTTTCTGAATCAGTAACACCCTGGCCTATCCCGTTCGGGTGAGTGGAAGCTACGATGGCCGTCTACACGCAGGCTGGTTTCTAACCTGCCCTGTCTCTGGGAGGAAAGAGGCCAGAGTGGGATTCGCAGAGGCCCCTCTGCAGGGGAAGAAGGGCCTGGACTCCGGCCTCAGAGATGCCCCTGCGAGGGAGAGAAGGGCCTGGACTCTGGCCTCACTCTGAGGTGGTGCCCAGGACTGGAGCGTGTAACCTTAGACGCCCAAGACACGGAATAACGTACTGCCTCTGGGCCCTCCCTCGGTGAACTGGTTTGCATGGTGCAGAACTCAAATAATGGTTCTTCAGATTCCCGGAGTGGCTTCCTCCATGTCCACACAGACCGACGCCCAAGTGCGGCCTCTTTATGAAGCCCCACTGTAGCGTAACGGCACACTCTGCTCCCCAAGACTCCGCTGTGGACTCCTGATGAGCACCAACTCCGGAGTCAGACAGCGCAGGGATCCCATCTTCCCCTCCCATCGCCATGGGACCCTGGGCAGGTGACAGTGCCTTACAACCTCTGCACATCCATTCCCGTAGCTATGAAATGGGAATCAAACGCTGTGGCTGTGGTGTGAGCATACCGTATCATCAGAAGGAAACCTCTACCAGGGGAGGGCGAGGGTGTAGAAAAGGTAATTAGGAGAAATAAATGGCAATTTACAAAGGAAAGAGGTTTAATGGAGAACTCACAGTTCCACGTGGCTGGGGAAGTCTCACAATTAGGAGAAATATGCCATAATTAGGAGAAATATGTCAATAATTGCAGGAGGTGTGTACAGGCTGGCGTTAGCTGGGAAGAGCCATGGTAGGACCTAGGCTGAATCTGCCCAGAGAAGTGAGCAGTGCCAGGGACCCACGGGGAGCTGGGTTTCAGGGGAGGGTACCCGAGAGTGCACCACTCGTAGCTGTCCTGAAAACAGGGACCCAGTTTAGAACACCAGTGTCATTGGGAGACAACCACAGGCCGAATAAAGTGGATCATGGTAACAGCCACGATACCTGCGTCTGGCTCTGCCTCGGGGAGGCCCAGGGAAGGAGACCCCCATCTGGAATAAATGGGTGATGTGGGTCAGCTGTGTCCCCACCCAAATCTCATCTTGAGGTCCCATGAGTTGTGGGAGGGACTCAGTGGAGGTAACTGGATCACGGGGGCAGGTCTGTCTTGTGCTGTTCTCCTGATAGTAAGTCTCGTGAGGTCTGAGGGTTATTACAAGGGGGAGTTTTCCTGCACAAGCTCTCTTCTCTTGTCTGCTGCCACGTGAGACATGCCTTTCACCTTCCACCATGATCTGAGACTTCCCCAGCCAGGTGGAACTGTGAGTTCTCCATTAAACCTCTTTCCTTTGTAAATGGCCCAGTCTCGGATGTGTCTTTATCAGCAGTGTGAAAATGGACTAATACAGATGGGATAACAGAGGGAGGCCTCCAGCTTAGGTATTAAAAGGTTAAATTGGAGGCCGGGTGCAGTGGCTCACACCTATAATCCCAGCGCTCTGGGAGGCCGAGCACGCCTGTAATCCCAGCACTTTGGGAGGCCGAAGTGGGCAGATCACAAGGTCAGGAGTTCGAGACCAACCTGGCCAATATGGTGAAACTCCGTCTCTACTAAAACAACAAAAATTAGCTGGGCATGGTGGTGGGTGCCTGTAGTCCCAACCACTTGGGAGGCTGAGGCAGGAGAATCGCTTGAACCCAGGAGGCAGAGGTTATAGTGAGGTGAGATTGCGCCACTGCACTCCAGCCTGAGTGACAAAGCAAGACTCCATCTGAAAACAAACAAACAACGACAACAACAACAAAAGCACAAGGTGAAATCGGGCTGGTGTGCTGGAGAGCTTCTTTGTGGAGGTAATGGGTTATCTATTATGAAGGGTAACAATCTAGCCCTGTGGGTTTCCAGGGGAAGGAACAGGCCCTGAGATGAGATATTTGGCCCATTCGGGGAGTCAACATAAAACCCGCGTTGAGTTTCATGCAACCCGTGTGGCTGACGGGTGTGGAGAAAGAACACAGTAGCCCAGGGTGACCCGAGGCTACACACGGTGACCCGAGGCTGCACAGGGTGACCCGAGGCTGCACACGGTGACCCGAGGCTGCACAGGGTGACCCGAGGCTGCACAGGGAGCGAGGCGTTTGGCTTCTATATTGCATGCAGCAGGAACCCCTGCAGGACATGTACAGGGGAGTGGCCTGGTCTGGGTGTATCTTAGAATATCAGTGTTGCTGCTGGTAGGTGAATGGTTTAGAAGAGGAAACAGAGCCGGCTGGAAGGCTGCTGCAGTGGTCCTGGCGAGAGGTACCAGTGGTCTGAGGCAGAGAGGAAAGGGATCAGAATCCTAGTTAACAGACTCACAGGACTGCTGATCCAGGGGGTGTGGAGGTGGGGGCTGAGGTCCAGGGAAAGGAACTGGGGACTATTCCTAGGGTTCCGGCAGAGGAATACAGAAATGCAGGGTGCTGGGAGTAGAGATTTGGGTGGCTGCAGGAGGTAAAAAATAAATAAATAAATAAAATAAAATAAAATAAAATAAAATAAAAAATGCAGTGGAAAGAGGTTAAGTTGGAGAGGTCTGTGAGACAGCCCGATACAGACATCAAGCCTCTGGGCTCCATAAGTGATCCTGGAGGCCTGGGTGAAGGATATAAATGTTTGAGTTATCAAGGAAAATACGCCGCTAAAAAATCACAGGAAGGCATGCGATTTCTCAGGAAGAGATTCCAGGGAGAGCGGAGAGGCGTGAGTGGGTGCACACAGTGGGGGACACGTCACCCAGCCAGCTAAGAAGAGAAGGGAAGGAGGGCTTGGCGGCTGGAGGAAAGCCAAGGCTGTGAGTAGCCCATGGAAGGAGCGTGTTTCATGCAGAAGATTTCCAAGGACGGTGGTAAAGGGGCAGAGGGGTCCTGGAAGGTGAGTCGGGAAGAGGGTGCTGAACACGTGGCACCACGTCTACGCTGGAGAAAACCTCCCACAGACGTGAGCAGTGGCGGTGGCGGCAAACTCTCAAGGCACCCAGGTGGCGGGCATTGTTAACCCATTTCCAGCTCGCCCTGGGAGTGACACTGCGGGGCTTTGCTCGGAGCAGCCCTGTGTGCACGGCCCTCCCATGGGGCCCCAAATCCACTCTCCCCCAAGAGCTTCTCTAACTAAGGACTTCTTCCCTTCCCTCTCTCAGGTCCTGCATGGTTTTTTCTCTTTCCTAAAGGGCAGGCTGTGTTTGAAACCCTGAAAAGCATTACAGCCTTTTATTAGTTGTTTTGGATCTGACCCAGAAGTAAAGGTTAAGGACATTAAGAGCACACACAAAGATCTGATTATCATCCACGGTGACAGTTCCATTTTGCTACTTACTGTTTTCAGACAGCTCCACGATGTAATAAAGAATAGGACTGTTTCCGTCAAAGGGCCGGACCCAAGAGAGCACCACGGCGTGGCTGTGGGAAGAATTAGGGCTGGCCAGGAGGTTCTGAGGTGAATGAGGCAGTTCACTTGAATCGAAGGGGATGAAAAGGAAAAAGAAGAAAACACACATCAGAATCCATGGTGAGCCTGAGCTCTTACAGCAGCCCGTCCTGCTGTGTCATGTTTGGGAAGTGAAGAACATAAAATATGCCCCAAACGCAAATATTAACTCTCTTCCTCCCAAAAAGGGACAGACAAAACCCAGCTTCATTATTCACAGTGTTATTTTGTTTACTGGTCATAATTTCATTGAACCCTTATGCTAGCTACCAAAACAAGTACTAACGCTGTCACATAAATAGGGAGAGGGGATGTAGACGTTAACACATACATTATTATTATTTTTTTAAATTTTTTATGAGACTATGTCTCGCTCTGTTGCCCAGGCTGGAGTGCTGTGATGCGATCTGGTCTCACTGCAACCTCTGCCTCCCGGGTTCAAGCGATTCTCTGCCTCAACCTCCCTATTAGGTGGGATTACAGGCGCCCACCACCACGCCTGGCTCATTTTTGTTATTTTTAGTAGAGACGGGGTTTCACACCATCTTGGCCAGTTTGGTCTTGAACTCCTGACCTCGTGATTCACCCACCTCAGCCTCCCAAAGTGCTGGTATTACAGGTGTGAGCCACCGCGCCCGGCCTACACATACATTATTTAATTGAGAAAACTTGGTCAACAATTTGTTTTTACAACTAGAGGCTGGCAATGGAAATGCCACATACACAGGAAAAGGTCGGGTACATTTCACAGGAATGTTTCCAACAGTAGCCATTTGGAGTTATGAGAGAAAATGCCCGCACGTATTCTTCGACAACACAGTTGCCGCATTTATTGACAGCATGAGGTTACATTGTCATTATGTCTTCTGCTGGAGTTACGGGGATTTGGGGGAAGCACTTAAAAGAAAATGTGGTGAAAACAGTAACTAAAATCCCATGGAAATGGTAAAGAACACATCAGCAAGGCTATAAAATGGAAATGCAATTAAAGTGAATAAATTCTTTAAATAACTTTCCAGTATAAAAAAAAAAAAAAGGTTTTTACTGGGATTTACCAGTGACAAAGCTGCAAAACCCTACTATGTAGTTTCTACCAAGGCTGACTCTATAACCTTAAAACCATGAGCTGCCCAGGCCCCGTATTCAACCTTCACGTCTCCTGAATCCGGGGCAGGATCCCGTGCCGGGGCTGTTCTGGCTGGCTGCCCCTCTATAAATGCTGCCAGGCAGTGCCGGGGAGAGGGGATGCCAAGTGTGACCTGGCTTACCGCTAACCTGTTTTTGGTCTCTTAGACATCAATTACTGCTGACCCACACGGGTCAGAACAAAAAGTCATAATTATACTTGATATTTTTAATTTTAAAAGTGTACTCATTACATTTTGAAATTTATTAAGCTGTTTTGTGCTTTCAGCTCCCTAAGAAACACAGCTCCAATCCATGCACACCATTTATAAGCATAGTAATATTTCTAATGTAGACTGCGACTACATTGTACGTTAGTGCGATAAAGAATAAATGTGAGCCCAGGATGTCGTCTTGTTTTCTCTTTAACTGTGAATTAAGTTTTGAATCAGAAAAGGAATTGTTCGTTTAATTTTTTTTGAGACGGAGTCTCGCTCTGTCGCCCAAGCTGGAGTGCAGTGGCACAACCTCGGCTCACTGCAAGCTCCGCCTCCCTCCCAGGTTCACACCAGTCTCCTGCCTCAGCCTCCCGAGTAGCTGGGACTACAGGCACCAGCCACCATGCCCGGTTAATTTTTTATATTTTTATTAGAGACGGGGTTTCACCATGTTAGCCAGGATGGTCTTGATCTCCTGACCTCGTGATCCGCCCGCCTCGGCCTCCCAAAGTGCTGAGATTAAAGGCATCAGCCCCCACACCCGGCCGTTTGTTTCTTTTTTTTATTTTTTGTATAGAATGGGTCTCACTATGTTGTCCAGGCTGGTCTCAAACTCCTGGCCTCAAGCGATCATCCCACCACAGCCTCTCGAAGTGGTGGGATTATAAGCATGAGCCACTGCACCTGGGCGGAGCTGTCATTTCTATTTCAGTTCTCCAATAACCGAATCTCCATTAGAGGCGGAAATGCCAGGATAGAAATATCAATTCTACTTCTCCCAAGCCCCATTTCCTATTCCCCCCCCTGCAATCTGAATCAGTTTGGTCTAAAACTAAACCAAAGTTGTTCAAATAGTCCCACCTGAAAAGAAAATACAAACAAATCTGACAGACACAGCCAAATAAGATAGTTTATCATAAAGAATGTATCTGATCTGAGATGGAACTTCTAGACTGTTGAAGTTTCCTGAATTACTGGGATGGTTTTTGTCACCATGGTGCGCCTCTCAGACCACAGCTGAGCTTATGCTTCTTGGGGGGACTCATGGTGGGCCCCAAGATCCTTCCAGGATGGGTCTGGCCATGCCAGGGAGGCCAACCATGGGGATTAGAGGGTTGGGGCTTTGAGCCAGTGGTGACGGCTCAGCCTTCTGACCTCCAGGGGGGGGAGGGGGCTGGAGACTGGGTTCAACCATGCGGCCAATGATTCAACTCTGGGAGGCTCGGGGTCAGTGAGGGTGGTAGGAATGCAGGATTTGCCCTGGGTGGCAGAGAGGCCAGACAGGGTCAAGGAGAAATGCAGTGGCCTGCACAGAGAGATCAGGAACGAGCTTATGGTCACAATTTTTGGACTGTCTTCTTGACTTTGGCTCTGGGACCCCAAGGGCAGCTCATTGGAAGCTGTTCTCACAGACTGGACACACTGTCAGATGATCATCTGTAATAGTCAGGACGGGAGACAGACCGTGAAACTAAAGGTGGATTAGAGGCTCGAGGAGCCAGGCAGCTCTGCAGACACACACAGTAGGAGTCGGAGAGAAGCCGGAGCAGGAGAGGGTGTACAACCAGCTCAGGACAAACCCTGCAAAACAGACATTCTCGGGCCAGGTGACCATATGCTATAAGATGTGGACAGGCTCCTAGGAGACAATAGGAATGGGTGACCTGTGGCCCCGGACAAGCTGCCGTGTCTCTGCACACTTTCTCTGATGACCTCGAGGGGGTTATGTTTGATCGAATTCTAAATTCTGAAAGTCTGTCTTTCCCACAGAGGTGAAAACACGGCCTCTTGCACTTGATTTCAAATCATGCTTCTCTTAGCCTGAGGTGAGAAGTCACACAGAAATGACCCATCTTCCAGGTGAGGGGACTGCCTTTCTCTTGGGGCTGCTGTGCTGTGCAGACACTCACTGAAATGGAGGCTACTCCCTGGGCAGCTTCTGTCCTCCAGGGGTCAGCTCTCAGTCCCTGGAACATGCTCACACATATCCCTCCGTCCCTCTGCCCCCCCAGCTAGGATGTGATTCTAGTCGGAGTGGTTTCTGATTTCCCTCCTGCCAGCAGACCACAAGCAGCAGAGGAGAAGGATCTACCAGAAGCAGGCACGCCGAACAGCAAAAATGGTCGCAAGAGCCTGAGCTGAAGGGATGTAAAAAGATTTTTTTAAAAGATTAAAAACAAATACTTAAGAACTTAGAAAGCAAACTAGTCTTGAGGCATTCAGTGTAGGTGGCAAGAGCTACCCGCCCAGTAGTGCCTGAGGATCCAAGTGCCCGTGATGTGCAGAGGCGCACGCATCCTTCTCTGCTACTGTCCCACGAAGTCACTCCGTTGACTCAAAGTCACACTCGGTGTGATGGACCAGTACAAAGTGTGATTTTTCCGTAGATCACAGGACTCAAGCATTGGAAGGAAACATCGATTTTTCCCAGTTTCAATCTCTCCCCTCTATGAAAATTCCCTCGATAATATCTTGTGTGTAAAATACTACCTGTTTCATAACGTGAAGGGCCTTGTGGCAGAGAGACATATCTCAGAGATACTGCACGTTCAGTTCCCGACCACCGCAATGAAGTGAATATCGCAATTTGCAAGTCACACTCATGTTTTGGTTTTCCAGTGCACATACAAGGTCTGTTTATACTCTACTGCAGTCTATTAAGTGTGCAATAGCATTGTCTAAAAAACATGTACACACCTTAATATAAAAATACTTTATGCTAAAAAACGTGAACGATCATCTGAGCCTTCGGTGAGTCACGATCTCTTTGCTGGTGGAGGGTCCTGCTTGGATGCTGACGGTGAGTCACGATCTCATTGCTGGTGGAGGGTCCTGCTTGGATGAGAGTGGTGGGTGCTAAAGGCTGGGGGGACTGTGGCAATTTCTTCAAATGAGACAGCAGTGAAGCCTGCCACGTCAATGGACTCTTCCTCTCATGAAAGACTTCTCTGTAGCATGCAATGCTGTTTGATAGCATTTTACCCACAGTAGAACGTCGTTCGAAATTACAGTCAATCCTCTCAAACCCTGCCACTGCTTTACCAGCTAAGTTCATGCAATATTCGAAGTCCTTGTTGTCATTTCAACAATGTCCACAGCATCTTTGCCAAGAGTAGACGCCATCCCACATGACTTGTTTTGCTCATCTCTAAGAAGCAAATCTTCATCTGGACAAGTTTGATTATGAGATTGTGGCAATTCAGACCATCTTCGGGCTCCACATCTAATTCTACTTCTCTTGCTATTTCCACCACATCTGCAGCTACTTCCTCCATGGAAGCCTTGAACCCCTCCAACCTTATCCACAAGGGTTGGAATCAACTTCTTCCCAACTCCTGTTAATATTGATACTCTCACCTCCTCCCATGAATCACAAACATTCCTTTTTTTTTTTTTTTTTTTTGAGACGGAGTCTTGCTCTGTTGCCCAGGCTGGAGAAGTGCAGTGGCCCGTGATCCTCGGCTCACTGCAAGCTCTGCCTCCTGGGTTCACGCCATTCTCCTGCCTCAGCCTCCTGAGTAGCTGGGACTACAGGTGCCCGCCACCACGCCCAGCTGATTTTTTGAGTTTTTAGTAGAGACGGGGTTTCACTGTGTTAGCTGTGATGGTCTTGATCTCCTGACCTTGTGATCTGCCCACCTCGGCCTCCCAAAGTTCTGGGATTACAGGTGGGAGCCACCGCG